ACTACAGAACTTAGTTGTTGTTGTTATTGCTATTGTTAGGTGCTGTTGATCTGACAAGGACTCATAGTGACCCATGAACAACAAATCTGAACCTTACCCTATCCTGCACCATCCTCATGATTTCTGGTAAGTTCTGGTCCATTGTTCCAGTCATGGTGCCAGTACATCTTGTTGAAGATCTTCTCTTTTTCTGACTATCTTTCAAGCAAATCTTTTTCTAAGGACCCTTCCTGACAACATGCCCAAAGTATGTAAGACAAAGTTTCGTTTTTGCCTTTAAGGAGAGCTGTGGCTGCACTTCCTCCAAGACAGACTTTCCCCCCTTTCTTTGCTGTCTATGAGATAATCAATACTCTTTTCCAACACCACAGTTCAAAGGTATCAATTCTACTTTGGTCTTCCTTATCCATTGTGCAACATTCAGGTGCATAGGAAACAATCAGAAATACCACCGCTTGCATCAGACAACCTTAGTCTTTAAACTGACTTCTTTTCACTTTTGCACTTTAAGAGGTCCTTGAAAACAGATTTCCTTAGTGCAACATGTCTTTTGATTTGGTGACTACTGCTACCAGAGTTGTTGTCCATGGACCCGAGAAAGAGGAGAAATAATTGACAACTTCAATCTTTTCTCCATCTATCAAGATGTTGTCTATTGGTCCAGTAGTGAAGACTTTCTTGATGTTGAGATTTCACTCATCCTGAAGCCTGTAGTCTTTGGTCTTCTTCAATTCCCTAACTCTCATCAAATTGTCTATATACCTCTAGTTGTCTTGGTACTCCACTCTTGGAACAATGGAATTCCTGAAGGTCTACCCAGACTGAAGCACCAGGCAGCATCCAAGTCAATTATTGAGTGTAAGAATGGAAAAGAATTCCTAACAAAGGCAGCACCATGGCAATGATGCCTGAGACATTCATCTTTCAACAAAGCATTTAAACTGCACCTACATCCTTAAACATCCAGGTCCCAAAACTTTTTTTTCAGTACAGAAAGGACGTGAAATTAACCTGTTGTTAAACTCCTAAAAGCTATTCCAGCTAATAAGTAACAAATTAAGGGCAGAAAAGCCTCTGAGGTTGCTCAGTTTTACAGCTCCTCTCTAGAGGACATGGCTGAGCGGGTGTTGTGTGTGTGTGGGCTTGTAGATACACACCCACTCTTTCTTCAGCTCCTTGTTAGACCAAAGCCAAGCTCTATTCTGTTGTTTTAATAACTTTATTCCTGGGGTTCAAAACTACAAAATGTGCTATTCTTAGCTTTGCTCCAGCTTAAAATAAAAAACAAAAACAAGAACCCTTCAATGTGAATTAGGCCCCAGCCTCCCAGTTTTCTCTAAGCCTGTCACTTTTGTGGTTCTTTGTCACTATATATGCAGCTGCTACAACTAGAAGCCAGACAGTTCAGACGCCTGTTCCTCACACTAAATGCTTCTTGGCTACAGTGAGGGAGTGTGACTCATATTTGCAGAGAAATGAACTCATATCTTCCGGGCCCTGCAGCAGCCTAGGCACTGCGTTGGTCTCCCTGCAGCCCTACACTGTAGGACAGAGAGAAGTGGAAGCCACTCCAAGGGGCTTTTTATCTTCCTGAGGCTGAAGAGTGTGTGGAGCTGCATAAACTTCAAGCCCCTCAGGGACATTCTCCCGGAAACAATGGCTCTCTCCTGATAGCTGACACATAGCAAACATAGGCTCTTCAGAAATGAATGAAGCTAATAGTGAGAAGAGTGTGGTGATTCGGAGCAGAACAGTGGGAGCGTGAATGTTGACTGGAAGGAGCAGGAGCTTTCAGCTATAAGGGCCCCACCACTGGTCAGTGAAGGCCACCTGACAGTAGGTCTTGAAGGCAAAGAGTCTCTGAAATTGACTTCATTGAGGAGGGCCTTGTCAGGGCTGAAACCCCTCTTTTTGTCCTGCTTCCTGTTGTTAGAAGTCATTGAGTTGGTCGTCAGTTCCTGGTGCTACATGTCAATGGGGTCAGGTCATTCTGATTTGCAGGTTTTTCACTGGCTGATTTTCCAAAGCAGATGCCAGGCCTGTCTCACTACCTTATCTTTCTTATTAACTGAGGCATTCAAATGCTCCACCCTTCCTCCTAATACCTTATCTTATAAATTGCCATCAGTACCTGTCCCCTGAAATGACATTTGGGAGGGACCCAATATTACCTTTTTCATGGACAGCTCACCTCCAGGCTGTTTTCTGAACTCCTTGCCTTATCACCTCTGAGCTGGACTATACAACCATGAGTCTGGTTCTTGCTGCTCACCCAGTACTTGTTGTCAGAATTGAGGCTCATACACCCTTACCCACTTGTGTGCACCCCACTCTTTACAGGCATTGCTTCCAGGGGAGGCTAACTCACCAGCATGGCTCTCAAGGTTTTCTGAAGCCTGGTGCTGTCACCTTTGGGTTTCAAATCCTGCTCCACCCCCTCTACAGGGCTTGCTTCCAGAATGTTCTACCACACTGTCCATACTCTGCTTCCTCTACCAGGAATGTCTGCCCAACACGTGCTTGAAACTCAAAACCTGACCTTTAAGTCACTTCCTTTGAGGACCCTCAGGGCACGCCGCCAGTCAGTGTGGTCTCTTTCATCCATTATTTCTCTAATGCACAAATCTTATTTTATGAGAACTTTGTTTACCATCTTACAGAAAACTTCACAAAGGCAGACCTACATGCATTGGCTGCCCACTGAATGCTGTAAGAATACATTGAACCATATGAGTCTACTAATATAAAACAAACTATTCAGTTGCTACAGAAGATCAAGGACTGTAGTCTTCAATATAGATTAAAGCTCAACATCAAGAAGACAAAAATTCTTACTAATTTGCAGCACTACAATAGATGGAAAAGAAATTGAGGTTAACAATTACTGCTTGCTCAACTCCACAATCAACACTCTTGGCACCAGTAGTCAGGAAATAAAAAGATGAATTAGAGTGGGGAAATCTGCTGTCAGGGGCCTCTCCAGAGTACTGAGAAGCAATGATGTCAGTGTAGAGAGTAAAGGGCGCCTGATCCAGGACATGGTCTTCAAAATTACTTGCTATGCATCAGAGAGCTGGACAATGACTAAAGATGACAGAAGAAGGACCAATGTCTTTGAGTTGTGGTGCTGTAGAAGAGTCTTGAACATACCATGGACTGCCAAGAAAACAAATAGGTCTGTCTTAGAGAGGATGAAACAAGTTTCTCCTTGGAGGCTAGGATTTTGAAGCTCTCTCTCACATACTTTGGGCACATGGCCAGGAGGGACTGGTCCTTGGAGGAGGACATCATGCTTACAAGGGTAGAGGGACAGCACAGGAGAGGAAGACCCTGGATGAGATGGACTGATAGAGTAACTGGGGCAATAGGGGTAGGTTTGCTGGGACAGTGAGACTGATTCAGGGTAGGTCAGGCTTCAGCAGTGTTGTACTGAGTCACAGGTGACTCCACAGCACATAACAACATAGTTATTATTGCGGTTGTATACTAGCGAATTGGAACTGACCCATAGCTGACCTTCCAGTGGGTTTTCAGAGGTAATAAATGCATAGGAGGAGACTGCCCATCTTTCTCCTGCAGAGCAGCTAGTGGATTTAAACCATGTACCTTTGGGTTGGCAGCACTAACCACTACAACTAAACCACCAGAACTCCCTTAAGTATACATATAAATGAAATCTGACTATTACCAGGGATGGGTGGAGAAATAGATGGGGAAGAAAAGTTAATAATTAAATAATTAATAGGTTGGGTGAAGGGAAAGGCAAAAAAAGACATTTGAAAGGTGGGGGGAAGAATAACTATAGCAGTTATAGCATTGGATGAACACTTTAAGTGGGTGAATTTTATGACATGCAAATAATCTCAATACATAAATACGACAAAATAAGCAGGCAGAAATCCTGTTCTGAGAGACCATTTCCATGTGGTTCCTAATCAAAGATGCTGATTCAAAGTCTAGAATAGCATTGGTCTTGAGGCAAATTATCACGGGATGTTGTTTTCTAGAGATGGAAAGTTTGGGGTGTTACTTGGACTCAAAAGTGCCACAGAGATTTAGGTACATCCCGTGATCAAGATCTTTATGACATGCACGGCTCTATAGGAAGGGGAAGTGTGCTGGTGTTCCCTAGAGGATTTGGGAACTGCTGTTCAGTAAGGCCTTCATGTCAAGTAAGTTCATGGAACGGTGGGTCAAACAAAGTCAGACAGGCATCTCTTTTTACTGCAGAACACTGGAGCCTTTACTTTGCTAATAATATGTATGTGTCTCTCCAAGGCCTGAGCAGTAGATGGTGAGGATGCTCCTCAAACCTTTATGATCAGAGTGCAATGAGGGGATAATGGAACCCACTTTGGGACTAGGACAGCAAACTGGTGGAGTTTTATAGACACGTAAAGGACCTAGATCAAAGGATTTTGTGTATTACCCACTAGTTACAATTCACTAAAAGGACTCCTCAGGGTCAGGCACTTTCATTGTCAGAACAGTCAGGAAAAAAAGACATTTTTTATGGAATCACAACTTTTTATTCAACATAAGCAATAACAAAGTGAAGGTAAATCTCATAAATGCACAGCCACATTGTACTTAGGAAAGATTAGAAAGCAACTATAAAAATATTTTACTAAATAAATGAAAAGAAAAGCTACATTAATCGGATGTCAAACACTACCCTAAGTGTGATCATGTGATCATGTGATCACCTCCAAGGGCGTCTGCTTTCTTCGTAGCTGGACATCAATCAGCAGCCTTAGAGCTTCTGTGCTGCTGGAGCTGCATAATTCACACCTCGTCCAGGTCTGTGATCCAACGTGACTGGACAACCACCATCTTTGACCATGTAAGTCAGTTAGTTAAATGCAGAAAATCAAGGGCACAATTTTCATGCTAAGTACTGCTGTGGCTTCTCATTGCTTTAGAGTGATTTGATTAAGTGCTTCTATTTCCTCAACTGGACCTTTCACTGTGAGAGGAGTGACAAGAGTATTGCAGGTATGTCACTGGGCCGGCATCTCTTGTTTCAGCTTGGAGAGTCTCATGAGACATTCGTCCCGCCACTTCCTCCTGGCAGCCAAGTGCTCGGGGTCATCAGGAACCCTCTCACACATGGCCTGGGAGATGAAAAGACAAAGCCCAAGAAATCAGCTTGAGGAGGCAGTAAAATGTGGGTTTTGCGTAAACAAACTGATTTTACTTTCAAGCATAAAAGAAGGGTCATAAACCTTCACTTAAACTAGACTGTCCAAATCCCAAGAGCCCACACTTCTTAAGAGACAGGCTAGTCACATGGTCCCTTGGCTCCAGCAACCATGATGGAAGCCAATATAGACAAAGCCTGGCGTGATAAACTGGCAAAGCCAAATGAGGTTGTTGCAGGTGGCACAGGTAAGGGGACAGAAAGCATTCCCATTACACCACTAAAGCTCTTGGCTATGTGACTCCATACCTGATTAACTTTTTGAACTGTTGCCCCAGAAAATTCTGGGATGGTTCCAAAAGTCTTTAGAACACGCCTCATGCCTTCACTGTATCTCTCACAGTAGCTCAGCATGCCTGCAATCACAAAAAACAACAGTCCACAATGTCAGAAGGATGACGTCAGATGAATTACATTCTTTCAAAAGAGGCAGAGGTGTGACTTTTATCATGGTCAGCTGGCACTGGGGAATGAGGATCTCTACCTTGAGCACAAGAAAGCCCTCTCTCCAAAGTCTGTAAGCTATAGGAGACCAGGGTATAACATCCTACTTATGTCAGCACATTTTATGGAACCTCTAGTCAGACTTTTAATCACTTGTTGAAATACCACATGAAGCCACATATTCACCAAATGCATCTCCTTCAATGATATGGCTTAAGATATTTGTGTAAGTGCCATGAATGCATAGTCTAAGCTTCAAAGATGTCAAAGCTCAATGAAATCTTTGATAACATTCACTCATCTGGTGAACACTGTTGTTGTTGGGTATATTCCGTTGATTCAGTCTCACAGCAACCCCATGGGACACAGCTGAACTGCCTTATATGTTTTTCTTGGATGTACTCTTTACTAGACAGTGCCCCAAAATTTTGCTCTGTGGAATACCTTGGGGAGTTTGAGTCACCAAACTTTAAGTTGGGCATTTAACCACTTGCACTAATGAGCACTAGTTTCGATATGACTGTGTGTTCAAAGCATGGCAAGGGGGCAATGGTAAAATCCTCTTCTTCCAAGTAGGAGGTCAGGGTTGATTTCTGGCCTACAAATCTCATGTACAATCATTTCCTATTCCAATGATGATGTGAAAGTGCTTTAGAGATTGAGGCACCTGATAACTGTGAAACAGTTGGCTTGAGATTTGGGCCTGACCCCTTTGGTTAAGTTAAATTTTATATAAGTTTAATAATGTAGCTGAGGAAGTGGGTTTTATGGTGATTAAGTCTATTAATTAAGTGCAATGTCTATAGAATGATCCCTGGAGTCTGTCCTGTGACCATCTGACTTCTCACTATTCCTCCTTTAACCAGATGGTTGACCTTTCCTAGTCAAAGAGCTTCAAACAAGCAGATCCAGTCTCCAATCATTCACCTGCCTGTCACTACATTTCCTTGCAATAACCACACTGTAATCAATTGAAGACAGACACATATGCATTGTAAGCCAATCTTGCCTTACGAGTTCTTATTTCAGGAAGTCCTACATTGTGGTGATTCAAGCTTCCAACAACGAATCAAGTAGCGTACTATAGGTCCAGCAGTCTCTCCTACATGTGAATGTCCCTTTAGCTTTGCCATTTTGTTGGGGTGGGGTTTTTTAATTGTGATTTTAACATAAGTGTACAGAAAAATTGGATTTTTACTCACTGTTGCACATTTTACTCCCTACCCATCCCAGTTCACTTAAAAAAAAAAATCATTCATTTTTTCATGATTTCCAGCTTTGCCATTTTGAAGGAGCTGACTTTCACTTGTGGAATTCAGTTTTACCAGCTCTCTTTACTTTCAAGAAATCTCTCATCTTAAGCAAACTGTGTCTTGTTATTCTACTCTACTTTTTGATGTAGGCAAGATTCAAAGGCATGTAACCTTCAATGTACCCCAGAAGTTTCAGACCTGGAACTTTGAGACCAAGCAGAAGTCCCACGTGCTCACCCATTTCCTCAAATTTTCCGGTTTGCCAGAGGTAAACCCTCTCAAATGGAGCTTTTACTGCTGTGAGGAAAGCTTTTGAGGAAGTTATTGTCTACCCTTTAAGTTTGCTCACTCCTGGGCTTCTTCATGGTTTCATTACCAAATTAACTTCAGTAAAGACTGACATCTAGTGTCCAACCCAATTACTAAATTCTCATTTTCTCTCTGGGGCATCATTTAAGTATCCATACCTACTTGAGTTTTTATATATTTGCAGGTTTCTCAAGAAGATCAGGTGTGCCATTCCCTAGACTCACACAGAATTCCCCTCTTGGAGACTCTTGATGTTTATATGATTAAACATTATGGTCCATAATCAGTTATATGTTTACTATTGGCATGCACTTGATTTTGTGTCCTGATGAGTTGGAACCTTCCAGTAGTTGACCCTCCGGTGAATTTTTAGAGACTGTAAATCACACAGAAGGAGACTGCTCATCTTTCACCCATGGAGCAGCTGGTAGATTTGAACCTTTGGGCTGGCAGCCCAACTCCTTACCCACAAGGTCACCAGAGCACCCTGTGGCCATGTTGAGGCTTGTTTAATTTCTCCTGTGGAATGATCAGTGTATTTGAATTGTTAAACTTTCAGTTAGCAACCTAATATGGTTTGTTTAAGTAAATGTACATTTCTGCACAGTAAATTAGAACAAAAAGACTCCTGAATAAAGAAGTTTCCAATAAGCCCTGGTAGTATAATCTATACCATGTCAGGCTGCTAATTGAAAAGCCAGGAGTTCAAATCCACCAGTAACTCCATAGGAGAAAGATGGGGAGTCTCCTCCTGTAAATATTTACAGCCTCAGAAACCCAACAGAAGGTTGCTATGAATCAGAATTGGTAGGACAGTAGTGGGTTTTAGGCTTAAGATAACAAGAAAGTAGAAGTGTTTCATTGAAAGTTACTATACCCAAATTAACAAATAAAACATGGAGTGACAATGGCAAAGCTCAGCTCCAATCTTTTCTTTTAAAATCCATCCTTGTTTTTAAGAACTACCTTCCCTCTATAACTTGATTTGTACCACTGTTAGAACCTCTACTTGGAATATTATTGCTTTTAATTTTTGACTCATGTACTTTTATCTTGTTAGTTAAATTTGTGTCTTCTAGGCTACAACAGTTCCATGATACATCTTCAAAGATATGACCATATATGGCTAAGCACAATTGATAACAGTGCATCTAAATTCCAAAATCAATCTCCACAATAGTCTACATGTTTCCTATTGCCAAAGAGGCCCTTTAGAGTAGTGAGAGAAGATCTTCACCCTGAAACCTACAGCGTCCCTTTTCAGCAGGAAGTAGCTAAGAGAATACGCCATCCCCTTTTCCTTATGAATCAGGGTGAAGTCTCTCTCAGGGAGGAGTGATAGGGAATGGCAAAGGACACACTGACAAAGGAGATTAACCAGAACTGGCTTTAACAAGCACTGTGGCAATGGGACAATTAAAACAGACTTTCAAGGGGAAAAAAAGAGGAACAAACTGAGGGGGGAGGGTAGAAAAAATGAACAATGAATGAATGGAAATCCAAAATCTCTGTAAATGTTCATTAAAATTAATAAAATTTAATTTTAAAAAAAAGAAAAAATCCATCCTTTATGGTCACTAAGGCTACTTTAGAGATGAACAAACATGTTTAAAATAAGAAACTTATTCTTGTTAAAATTAAGAACTATGTCTCTATGTTGTTGTTTCTGAAAACCTGCCTGAGGTTCAGTTATGGGTCGGTTCCTAGTCAATGGCAAATAATAACACAACAACAAATATAAATTATTTCTTCTGGTTGCTTTAACAAGGCCTTTTTTAAAAGGAGATTTTATGCTAAATTTCTTCTCTGGAAGATTCTATGAAGTATGCAAAAGATGGAATTATATTATCAAGATTATATTTCTGCAAAGAATTTACTTTGGTTGGTTTAAGGATTAAGAAATGCTTATCTAAATTAAGCAATCCTAACATACCAAACTAGAGAGCTCTTGCACTCAAAAAATCTCTCATTTTAATCTTAAACAGATTACAGATCCTTTTCTACAACAATGCTGAACATGTTTTAGTAGAACTAGGAATAAAAGCCTGGCATTCTACTCCTGAAAATCGGCCAATGCAAACTCTATGGATCACAACTGTCTGACATGCATGAAGCTACCATTCATTGGACTGGCTTCCCAGCAGATAACCACTACTAGCAGCATACCTGCTGGCACCTCAACACAAGATATACTTCTTCTTAGAGGTGGGTTTACAGAGTTCACACCTGTGAGCTTTGATCAGCAAACTGCAGGTTGGGCTGGGAGCCTTGGCTTGTATCTTTGCATTCTATTCTCCACAATTTCTGCCCATTGGGGTACCAATTTATTTCTTGGATTGTAAGAGTGGAGTGTGAGGATTTGGGTAGGAAGGCACAAAGAAAAGAGTTATCCCAGTGCTGGAAGGGAAGAGGAGAGAGCAGTTGCTTCAAAGCTGTTCAAAGAGCTCTTGGTGGCCCAGGCTTAAGTTTCCTTTTAGCAACAGACCCATGCAGAGGATGCCCAAAGTAGTGTGCAAACTCCCTGCCCACAGGGCTTGACCAGAAAGCTCTACTCTAGAGGGATCCCTCACAGTCCATCCCTGTGCCCTGGGGGTACACAAGCCAGAATGTGGGGTGCACAAGTTAAATCAAAGCCAACTGGCCTGAGGACCTAAGAAGGAAGGAGCAGTTGTTTGCTGAGCACAAGATCAGCCCCATGCTATTCTGCCTCTGACTCATTTCACACTTAGAAACACTCAGCAATTTTTTCCACCATTGAAATGATAACAAGAGAACAAATGAAACCACAGAGTCTGCAGAGACCTCAAAGCCTGGCTCTCATCCTCCCCCCCTTCCCCCCCCCCGCAAAAGATTACTACATAATTTAAAATATTAGCACTAGATAATCTTTAAATAAAAAGGGAAAGAAAGGCAAAAAACCCAAACTCTTCTAGGTTTAGTTTCGATCAACCAACATTGGATGTGGAAGGCCTGAATTCACCGTGTTTCCATTTTCTTGCCTCAGATAGTTTCCCTTTGCTTTGAAGAGCAAACAATTCCAACATTCCAGCCTTTCTGACATTGTTGTTGGTTGCAGGGTAGTCAATTTCCATTCACAGCAATCCCACCTGTACAGGATGGAACTGCTCTAGAGGGCTCCCCAGGGCTGTTTCTAATAGCAGATTGACGGACTGCTCTTCCAAGGAGCGTCTAGCTGGATTAAAACCTGTCAACCTTTGGGCTGGTAGTCAAGGGATTAACGATTTGCAGGGACTGCTGCCCTTAGCACTGGCAACTAAGTGGTGTCTCCTCTCTCTTTAAAACAAGGACTCATTTAGCACAATGTAAGTATACCTTGAATTAAGGAATTC